TGGCTTGAGATGCAAATAATGAACTAAAAAAGTTCCAATCCGCGCCCTTAGTCTTGTACCTAAAGCTATCATTGCAATATGTTGGACCCTGGGGTAATGTTGAAACAAACTCGTACACGATCAGGCGATGATCACTACACGACGCATCTGGTAGGACGCGCCACCTATCCAAGCTAACGTCTGCACTAGAAAGTGTGACGTCAATACAAGATTCGCCCATTTGGCTGCAAAAAGTAGGTGGTGCATCAGGGGTATTATGAATGGAGAGATTCATTTCGGCAATGAATTCTTCAACAGCACAGCGCCGTTCCATGTCAGTAGCCCTGACCTTGCCATACCACAAGGATGAAGACGCGTTAGCGTCAGCACCAATGATAATTTTGGAGCCCGCAAGTGATTGCAAGACGTGACGGAGGTGATGAATATGAGGAGTAACTGAGTCAGAATATTGAAAGTAACAGCTCACAACGTACAATTTACAATTTCCCGAAGCAATCTCCGCGACGGCACAGTGCGACGTCATTAAATTAGATATAGATGTTACAGTGAAATTAGGTGATTTCGTGACATAAATTCCGGCCCGCGACCTGCCATCCAGCTGCACTACCCTGTGCCGTAAGTGGGTATATTGATATTGTTCTTGAATAAGTACTATGTCAAGTTGATAATCAACAATTAATTTATCTAACTCAGACGTCGCAATCCTATCGTTATGGAGATTCAACTGCCCTATGGTTAGCTTATCCATATTGTAGAGCATGTTAGGTATAACAAAACTTTGTGTCTACCTAACCTAAAAGATTATTTATCCAGCCTAAAAACCCAACAATACCCAAATAACATATACCAAGCAAGCCAAAAGGTAGTCTTCAAGCTCAGTGCACTTGACAAATTGCCACCAATACAATATAAATATGTACAATAAATAATCCTTTTAAATAAGAAGTTGTTGAACAAAATATATACATATTTGTATGTAAATGTAGGGTCTGCGTTTGAATGAGTAGTGCGTAACGCTTGCGACAGAGTGACGGCAAAACGTCCGCATCATCACGTATCATACGCCGGCGCCTCACTGTCGGGACCGTCCTTGTGAAAACAATTGTTCTACTGTAGTAGCGAATGGGATATATCACGATGATTGTGCAATTGTTCAGAATATCAATACATTATCCTATATTAATGTATACTCAAATAACTCACCTTAAAGACTGATGGAAGACTGAAAACACTAGGAACGATTAATTATACCCATAAAAACTTTTGCGTTTGATTAGTTTCTTAGTTTTTCATAGTGTCTCTCAGTTAGACACATTAGTCAGGGCTACGATTACGTAGAACAATCCGATGTTGTTATTCAGTAAATCGTGTTAAAAGTCTGCAAATTACTTTGTTAGTTTAATCTGAAATTGACTACTAAGCTAGATTGCTGGATGAAGCAAATTAAGTTTTATACCACGCTATTGCACAAATAACCAAAAATATCGAAAGTAAAATCGAATTAGGTATATCTAGATTTCATTGTCTCAAACTTCGCTAAGTCTATTTAGTCCATACGACCGGATGGCGTAATGGGCATAGTTAGTTCTCGCATACATAACTTCATTATATGAACCATATAGCATATTCCGTCCGGCCCCTTACTTGGTACGACAAGCATTTATGTTGTTATTGTACACTAAGTGCGCATTTGTCCCTGGCCTAGTCCAGAAATCCGGACCCAAGGTTAGTTAGAGGCCGACTGACTAAAGATTTTTCTGACGAACGATTTGTTTAATACCCAAAACTGTTGTAGTTATTACGTTAAAGAAACATGGTTTATCAATACATTTAGGATCACCTTCTCATTGTTTCAATTTTGTGAAATTTTATATTTGTAATGGGATTGTTTTGTGATTCCATCTACAAATGAGATATGTAGTTAATCTGTTTATGTTACTGGTAGATGGTAAAGCTACAAGAAACTTGTTTTTTAATTAGACTTGGATAATAATAATTATAATTCTTTCAGAAATTCATAACTAAAGCCAACATTTACACGAGTCTTAAATAAACTTTGACGTTTTTATATTTTCATCATGCTCATTTGAATACTTAGATGAAAAGTTTTTCCCTTATTATTTATATTTATACCTATCAGTGGCCACGAAACTGAAATTACTTGGTAAACTTGGATCGAGTACTGAATGAAATTTTATTTGATAAACCCTGTTTACGAAAACTTTTTGATGAATTTAATTAAAACTAATTCAAAGAAATGGGACGCTTCACTGCGCCGTCCAAATTATTTTTCGATAGGTCATATTTTGAGAAGTTCTTAAATGCTCAGATTATTATTATTAATCTAAGAAATCAGAAGTGTAATATACATATACCTATTCGCAGATAAAAAATTAACAATGAAAGTTAAGTCATTTCCAAATTCTTAACTGCTATCGTCTAGACTCAGGTGGATACACAGTCATAATGAGCAGCCAACAGCTGAAAAATCGGACAACTAGTATAACCAATATTTTCCACCCATCTTCGCAACCTTTAATATGTTATCCAAACTAATTACTTAGGGTCCATATCTCCCCAGGCGAGATAGTGGTCAAACATCGGCCCAACAAATATAAAAAAATAAATTGATAATCTCAATGGATGACAAACCTACAAACCAACTTCTACGAAAAAAAACCAAAGCTACTATAATGATTTGAATAATCAATAACATTAACTGATCAACTTACGAGGATGTTCAAATCTTTTTGGAAGATTGCAGGTGGTAAACAGGTCAGAAGTCTTTACATTTGGCTTAGCGATTTCTTCCTTGGCGGATTTCTTATCAGTGCACGTTGCAGAACAGAATCCGGGCTGAGAGGCTGGTGGGGGAGGGAGAGGTAGGCTTGGTTCTTGCGGTTGGGTTACGTTTCCTTCAGCCATTTTCCCCTCAAACTTCTAAATATAAAGATCTCGTCTCAATATCACTCAATCTAAACGGAAGTATCGTATTTAATTTCGCAAGAATCGGACGATTGATCGACAAACAAAGGCGTCGTCGTGACAACTTGACTGATTTGTTTTCCCTGGCAACGTTATTACATTGTTATTCGAAAAGTATCGAATATTGAAAAAAATGTTTTTGCCATTGAACCACCGACTGACTACGGCATCCCCTATACTTATTATACTCTTTGCTACGGACGCTACGGACAATAAACGATAAACGGTGTTAGCCTAAGATCCACTGATATGTGTTATATTTATAAATCTATGCTAAGATCCCACTTGAAACAACCTTCACCGAGATGCTTAGTTGATGAAACATATTTTATATTACCTATGTACAAAAACGTGGAAAATTCAGTCGTTTACCCTAATATTGGGGTTAATTTTAAAATGATATTAATATATTTTGCGTTGTTATGATAGATTGCAATAATGATTATGGCAGTATTAAAATTCAAGGATCGGCTTGCAATAATTAAGTTGGGCTTCAAAAAACAAGTAGCTTTATCAGTACTCCATACTTAAAATATAAAGATCACCGTATACTAGACAAGTGGTTATTCTTTTTGTTGTGAAGTAAACGAAGTTTTTTATGATAAAATGAATTAGCTTCATAAGTTTTCTTTTACTAAATAAACGACTCAGATACTGTACTTAGGTACAAAGTATAGTAAAGTGCAAAAGTACAAGTCAGATAAATAGTATTACTTTCTATACGCAACTACTAGATTTACCCCCTTTTTGCCCTATATGAAAAGATTTTCCCTAAATCTCCCACACATATAGGTTAAATTGTGCTATGACAAATAATACTAATCTACAAATGAATATAAATACCAATGCCCGCAGACCTTAAGCTCATTGAGCATGCATTCGAATGAATATATTACTCGTTATCAACACTATCAGGAGCCAACCGACATAAACGAGTGGGAGACTATCGCCTCCCACCCTACTGTGTCACTCACTACGCGACTGCTATTAACTGCTCACATTTTAAACTTTAATTATTAAACAATCCAGTGGCATAGAGCACAATCCTGTGTAACGTAAACAAAAAGTATAATAACACCAAAAATTAATATTTTTTTCTAAAGTCATATAGACAATCAAATCAAAACATCAACAACTGTGAAATCAAAATAAATAAATCATAAAATATCACAACAATATACCAATAAGTATAAACAAATCAATATGCAAACGATAAGCGTCCAGCAACCAATTAATTTGAAAGTCGTGAGGTTCGAATTAGATTTTTCAGACTTAGTGAATGAAAATCCGAGCCCTGTAAGAAGGAAATCCAAGAAAATTAAGGTTCCGAAGATCAACAACAAAAAGCAATCTGCCATACCGCCCCCGCCGTTGTTAAAGAATACTTCTCAGGTACGCAATTGCTATTCAAAGGTAATGGAAAAATAATATATCGAAGGCTTGGAAGGGACGGGGAAATTGTATAAGATTTATTTGGTTTATAAGCAACATTGTTTAGCAAAAATATAAGTGGTCCATGTTTGCTCTGCGATACATAATATTATTTTATGCGCAGTTGACAATTGATGTATCAAACCGCTTTGTAGGCCTATTTGCTCTTTTCTTTAATTTCATGAAGCTCTCTATCATTCATCATGTCGCCTTCCTTTTCGCAACGTCTCTTTCTACATTTCGTTTTTCTTGACTTTTCTATAAACTGCCTCTTGCCCATTTAAGGTTTCATATCACAAAGAAACATGTTTTTTAATCCATGTACACATTAGCAAAGTAAACATTTACAAAAGTGATGTGTATTATTTTCAATATCCAAGATCCGATACCTCGTTTAATATACATCGTGTATATATATATATATATATATATATATCTTTTGAATAAATCCTTTAAGCCGATTGTATTAAGACTTTACAAATAGGTCATGCGATGAATAAATCTGAACCACTTTCGTTCGAAGTTTTTTTATGAAAAATAATTTTCATATGAAAACCGATGGTAGGGACCTATTGTTAAAAATCTATATACGTACTGAATTTAACCTGTACTCTACTGCTATTATATCAATAATGACAAAAAATGTATGATTCTCTATTCTATTCCGTTGAGTAGAATACACCGAAAATAATATATTTCACCCCTTTCGTGTAGGTATATAGCTGTACCTAATTTTAGTTCAATTTTAATTTTATGTTAACAGAAACCAGGTGTTAAGGACTTGGTAGAAGATTTACTTGATCAATTGTATTCCAAACAAAGGGACTGGAGTGGGATCGACTGTAGTCAGTAAGTATCATTAAATCATTTATATTTATAACTAGCTGACCCGGCAAACTTCGTACCGCCTACAATTTTTAGTTCTCACCGTTTAAACCTTCCCTTCCACGAACATTCTAAGACCAAAATTAGCCAAATCGGTTCAGCCGTTCTCGAGTTTTAGCGAGACTAACGAACGGAAATTCATTTTTATTTATATAGATATTCATTTTGCAACTAAGCCAATAAGTACTATTTTTGTGCACAAAATGTGGCATCAAAATAAATCAGTCAAACTGTTCCAAATATACAATGTTTAGCTATGAAGACTAATGTCGATAACAGCATTATAAGAAGTTCAGCGGTGGACTATTTATTTTTTCGTTTTTAAATAAACTTCGCCCCACACTAGGATTTTCTCCTGTGTCGTGGGTGCGTTTACAAACACAAGTTCACGTACACATAACACCCAGACCCGGAACAACAATTTGTGGATCACACAAAGAGATGTTCCGTGCGGGAATCGAACCCGTGACACAGTGGCCCAGTCACCGCGCCAACAAAGCAGTCACTAATATAGTTTCCAATCCGACCAATAATTTACTATTATTATTAATTTTTATACTTAGATCCACATCAGCATCGTTTACTTCTTGCCAATCGAACTGTGGGGAAAAAACTGAAGCGATAGAACGAAGTTATTTGGAAGCTTTAGGTATGTTCTTTTCGTTAAAATCTGTGATTTCAATGACTATAATATAACATAAAATTACGCCTTTTATCCCCGAATGGGTAGGCAAACATGCACATTATGCCAATGTACAATGTAACACCCACTTTTCACTATTTATGTTATGAGTCCCATGTCCCATAGGGGCTGAGCCTATTACCATATACCGGGCACAATTCCAGACACCAGTAACCCAGTTGCCCGCCCCGGGAATCGAACCCGAGACCCCTTGCCGGGCAGTTGCACATGCGACCACTCGGCCAATGAGGCAGTCTATAATATATATGTATGTTTAATTAGCTATATTTAGATTGCTTGTTTGCAATTGAAAAACATTTAATTAATTTTTCTTCTATAACTGTGCGGTATCTATACTTAGGAATCACTCCTTTTGAAGTAAAGTCTGTGTAATTTAAGTTAACTTTTGGTTACAAAGAATCTTACATTTCCAATTTATTTCCAAACAAAAACATCTAATTCTATTTTCTACCTAACATTTGACTCTCATTTCCCAAATAATGCCTTCAGGGTTTGACCTTTGGAATTACTTAACAAAGTAAAAGATTAAATAAATAATAACCTTTTTATATTTTCAACAATGAATCGATTATACAATTTAGATAAAACATCATGCATTATTAGCTTAAATTTTTTGTATTCCAAAATTAACTTTATTCATATCCACAAAAAAGTTTATTATTACTTACACTTGCAACAACTTAATTAGAACATTTTTATAGAAATCAACGAACTTTGGGAGCAAAAAGTTGAATGGGAAGAAAGACTTCAAGCAACGGGAGAGAGACTTGCGAAATGCGTTCGAATTCGAGACCGTCTGCGGCGGCAACAGAATAGAATCTGCGCGGCTTTCACCGTTCTTTTACGTCATATTAGTAAGTTTACCCATTAACTTAAAAAGCCACTAACTTCTACTAAAATCTTCTCGACATTTATACAAGTTTCATAGTCTGGTTGCCCATCTACCTTAATGCTTAACTTTCCAACAAACTGTCAAACAATCCCAGTCATTTCAAAACAAAGCTAGAAATACTACAGATTGTAATCGTTAGTTTAAGTGATCAAGTTGCAGTGCTTCCAACGAACTTCTTAGACAGTTTTGTCTGTAAACTTTGTTATTTGCAATTGTTACTGATCGATACATTTATTATATCGTCGTGTCAATACCTTAACGACCAAAGTGATAAACGAGGTTCTATCACGATCAAAATAAGTATATTCTCAAAAGTAATCACCGTTTAATGTCTGTAAAGGGCTTCCATAACTCGCAGAATCAAATTTCGTTATTACTGTTAATGGATCGCGCATCTTCGTTAGCCAATTTTACTATAATAACATAATGCTTTAGTACTTCATCAAAAGCTCTTCATACAAATACATCAGGTAAACAATGAATTGTTCCCTGAATTACAGTTTCCAATGAAACATTCATAGATAGTCGATATCACAACAGTTTCATTCATGGGAGCTTAAAATAGATTTACGCATATCAAAGCGAACTTTGCTTGGTATGGGGTGCTGTTCCCGTCTATCTGTTTCCGAAACTGACGTACACAGCGGCGCTCAATCGATACGTAACGCACACAACCACAAGTCCGGGGTTCCAGTGCGCATGCTCACCACCTCGTACCACGAAACTCTGTCACAAAACAATACGACAGGAGTCTATTTTCCGTCTGAGCGTGCAGGCATTTGATTCCAAGTGTACACTGAAGTCCTGATGTCCCATCCGGTACTGTGGTACGCGGTTGGAAGCCCCGCCGCTTCGTATCACGACTTTCCCAGTAAACATCACATCAGCTGGTCGACTACGCAGTCTCAAATGCTCTCGAGATATGGCTCATAATTTTTCGCATTTTCGTTACAAATCATTGATACCTTACTGTGAAGTTTGTGGTAAAGTTAGTTGTTAGCGCTAGGATGTCGTGTACGTATCCGCCTGCAGTACCACTGCATAGACTTAAGCCGTCAGGTCGTTAACTTAGTGCTTAGTGATTATAAAGATATGCGTTTATTGTCAAATGCGTGCCACTTACAAGACAGATGAGTGCACTCCTAAACTCCCTGAGGAGCTTGGCAGGTGCATCGAAGGCCAGCTCAGGTATGTTGATTCATTTATTGCAAAATGTTCGCAGTGGTCAAGAAATAACCCAAGAAACCTTTGAAGTACCGCGTTTGTGATCTTTGTTGTGGCTATCATAGACGATCCGTTTCTACGTTTTAATGCTAAATACGTACTGGAACAAGTTCAGTATCGATTCATAATTTTATTACTTTAATGTATTAATCACGAGACTAATAGGCGCTCCTTCTTTATGCTTTGTACTAAATTGCTTTATTATGTAAATGAGTAGGTCCGTATCCGTCATTAGCGACTATTATGAAATTGTCCTGATTGTTCGAGTGTACGTTTCTGTGAAAACAATTGTGCGTACCAGGACTGCAGCAATTATTCAATTAATGTTATGTTATGCAAGTATGTTCACAAAACTATCTATTATAATGAGTTACGTATTAGGGGCTGTTAACCAAATATTTTTATATACATTACGTTCTCGTCATAGCAAGCATTATATGTAAGTTTTTATAACGTCAAAACATAAATAATAGGTTATATTGTACTGGAATGCTAGATAACCTATATGAGTTTTTAGGTTATGAAAACTTATGGCTTGTGGCTATTAGTGCTGATAAAGAAACGTATTCGCGGATAGTAGAACATATTTTTAATACAACATGAATAAAATCTTATAAAATTAACATATTTTTATTCATCAATGGAGCCGTTTTCGGGCAATACCTAATTGGCGAATTTTATTAGTTTTTCTGAATGTTCTATACTCTGAGTTGAAATTCATATTTCTATTAAAGAACCTTCCGGCAAAGATTTATTTATTTATTTGTCATTAAAGCAGGCAATTAAAAAGAACAATAATATATTTTGCACTACATATTTTAGTACCTATTTCCGCGTTTGATTTATACGGTAGGTAAAGCTTGATGGTGGATGATCATCATCGATTCACTTCATCATTATCATCAGCCCGGATTACATTAAGTATACGAATACGGGCAGTAGGTGATGGATTTTTATCTCATTTGGTATTTTTCTTGGCAGGCCAAAATAGTAGCCTGTCCATTCCGCTATTTCTCGTAATTTTGTTTCTTTGTATTTTACACAAGCCTTGTCCCGATAATAATGAACATAAACAACTCGGTGTATTTATGCTATAACCAAATTTTGCTATATAGCAGGCGAAAGTGGTGCTCGTTTCGGAGTGACGCCGGGCGGAGGCGAAGGCCCGGGCGAGGGCGGTTACGCGGAGTGGCTGCATGCGATGCGCCTGGTCGCGCGCCTCCCCGCCGGCGTACCTCAACATTTTCGCAGAAAGGTAACTATCCTTACCTTACCTATAAATAAATCTACATCCCCACTTCTTTCTTAATTCAAAGATGCTCGGGTTTTGCACAATATGTCGTCGTTGTCTATTCTGAGGAGAATAGGCAGTATAGTTAAAGAGGCATCAAATATCAATCTCTTTTTCTTTTATGGCATTTAATCGTTCATCCAGCTTTCCTATGGAAGTCTTCTTCTTTTCTATTAATCCATATTTTAATACGACACGGTCTTTGATAACGTACCACGACTTTCATCCATCTTTATTAACATACCATGCTTTCGTGGTTAGTTACGACTATTTGAAATAAATAAATCACACTATATGTTTGGATGTTTGTCCGTCAATCACACTGAAACTACTGAACGGGTTTTGATGAAATTAGGTATGCAGGCAGGGTATGGGCTGACTTAGGCGATAGGATACTTTTTATTCCGATTAAATTCTCCCATGGGATAAAACTGGAATCATATTCCACGCGGATGAAGTCGCGGGCAACAAACAGCTAGTTTAATATAATCATCATTTGATTTCATACTTTTTTCCAATTTTGACTCTTCATTATATCTTTCCCGCTGATTAAACAATTCAATAAAAGTAGGAATAGGCATCTAAGCGTATTGGTAATAAAAATAGCTTAGGTCACTGTCCATCGATTTTACTGACCCACCGAAAATATTATTGGAAATATCAGAGGTTTGTTCTCTCTGCGAAAAACTCGAATATGTACTTAGAATAATATAAATAAATAGAACTATTCATAGAAATATTGGTAGCTCTGAAGTGGAAATACAAAGGCATACAGCTTTTTATACATATAAGTAGGAACTATGTGTATAGCGTAGTTATACGTATTTCATAAATAAACTTACTTGTTTGAAACTAAGTTATCATAATAAACTGAGTGTAGATACTAAACACATTTCAGTTTATTTACTTTTACTTTAACGAAGATATTCTCTGAACCTCCGTAAAGATTACTCGAGCCAACCTTTTGTAAATAAGTTACTATTGACGTCATAGCTATTTACATCTCTCTTGTACGACCGACGACCATGTATCCTTGATTTTCAATTACTTGACATATGTAAATATGTTTGTTGTAAGAAATATGAAATATAGTAATACCTATCTAACACTATTAGAGAAACAAAACACAATGGTAGCCTCATTAACTGATTTAAGTACATAAATATTGTTTAGTAAATAAATTTTTGAGAAATAATTATGATATTCGGTCAAGAAAGTCCCACGTCACGTCTTACACAACAGTCGCTATGCAACGTAACGTTTTTGACTTCATAAAAAAGTATTGAATTAAATTAGTTAGAAAGTACCTTATTATGGTAAGAATACCAACTAATTATAAATAAGATTACCCTAAGTTCTTGTCCATACTCAAGTCAAAAGATATGAGTTACAAAAAATCGCGGGTTACTCTCGTAAATATACTGAGAAAAGCTCTACTAGTTACAAGCCACAGAGGGGCTCTTCCTCATTCGCAGCGTGGAAAAGCCCCTTTGTAGTAGTTAATTTAGTATATCTCACGATAGTTATTATGAAAACATATGAGTCACTTTGTATGATTGTATCGGTGGGTCTGACTTGGGCTGTATTGTGACTCGAGCCCATTGTTTACCATTTCACATCGCGGAATAGATGTGGCCGAACAAAGAGAATACTGTGGTAATTTCCACATCAAAATGTAGGTGATAGGTACTTAAAATTTAATTGACTTCTAAGTATTAGAGGGTTTGTAATGACTTGGCATAGATACATATTTACTTCTTATTTTCCTTGCTTTTCAGTTTAACTCGTCGAGTACCGGTTTTGTAAACACAATTATAGAACAATAGGTTGCGGTCACCGGTGACCGCTTGGTGTTTGACAGTTTAATAAGTGATTTGATGAAACTTCGGAACTGGTTTATGATCAAATTGTAAGGTAGTAAGGGAAAGAATGCCACAAATCGACCAAAATATAAGAAAAAATGTCGAAAGTAGGACTAACCGAATAACAAATTAAATTAGTTTTTCCATTCGGTATAAATTGAATTACTTCTTTCGACTTTTGTAAACAATCTTAGTATTGATAGATTTTCGAATAAGCTTTTAAGGGTGGCCTTTTTTGTTAACCATTTTCAAAAATGAGGAGATTCAGAATTCGGTTGGCATTTTCTTTATATGTAGGTATTGTATATTGATTACTTCGTGGTTTCTAACTTTCCGTCGGGTTCCAGAACTTTAGAACAGTATTTTTATTCTATGATAATTTTTTGTCATCTCAGCTATGGCTGACGTTGGCGGAGCGTCATTTGACAGCGAGGGGTATAGACTGGCCGTCTGCAGAGCGCGCTTGCTTCCGCGGGACCGCACAACCCGATGACACCGAGCTTGGCGCGCAAATACTCAAAGTAAGAATATCACTAATCAAACTAAAAATACTTAAAAAAAATATCGTGCTTATTTGTACCTTGAATAATTGAAGACCTATAAATTTTAATATAAGTCTCAATTTTATTTACGTCACATCATCATCACAAGCCTTTGTTTATTATATCTAAGAATTTACAGATAGGTGTAATATTCATGCAAATAAAGGCATAGATTTGGTCTTATTATCAAATAAATTGGATGTCTGTCTGTCTAGTCTATGAAAAAAATAAGAATGCAGAGACTCTAAGGAGGTTGTCGGAGGGCAAGTAACTCGTTAGAATTTAATACCGTACTTAGTAACAAGATATTCTGCACTAGATTAAAAGAGAATGTTGATTTATTTTTCTCACTGAAACACGATATTTTACTAGGATTTACATCGCACTGGGTGCTCTCTGTTCTGCGGTGCAGAAGGGCGGGAAAATCAGGCGATGCTTCGAAGAGTGCTCTTAGCGTATGCGAGGTAATTCTATAACCCAATACTTTCAATTGTTTAAAATTTATAACACCCTGCCTTAGTAGGTAATATCCTACTGTTATGCTCTAGATCCAATAAAAGATTCAGTGATTGAGTATGATACATATTTCTAGGTGGAATAAGGATGTCGGATACTGCCAAGGTTTCAATATGTTAGCAGCCATCATACTAGAAGTTATGGACAAATCGGAATCGGACTCGCTAAAGGTAAAACGACACATATTTAATGTTTCGTCTTTCTATGACGTTGCCAACTCTAATCTCCAGAATTTATATATCTCAGTGTAGATTGTCCAACTCTCGGTGATGCTTAGTTTTAACATATCATGCTACAGCACATAAAGACGGAGCTAAACCGCAGCAAAAAGCTAGTATAATAAAATTTTGTTTACGACAAACTAGAAGGGTCAACTAACAAAGTAACTAACTAACTTCAAAGTAACTTCGTAACTATTACGACTTTGTACAAAGGTTACTAAAAGCTGTTTTGCCTTAATATTAACTTATTTAGGAAAATGGAAGATGTAAGATGTGTGAATAGTTCAATTTATGGAACTAGTGTTAAGCCACATTGTCCTCTTGATTCTCGTTTATCTAGCTACGATCCTCAAAAAAAGGAATTTAAATTTCACCACTTTTAACTTCTTCAGTCAAAAGAGACGCTTTTGTTTAACAGCTGACATCTTCCGACAGATGTTGACGATGATTTTGTTGTGTTTGTAGGTAATGATATACTTGGTGGAGGCTGTGCTTCCTGAGGGTTACTTCGCAGATGACCTTCGCGGCTTGTCCGCAGACATGGCGGCATTCAGGGATCTCCTTCGGCTGCGCTTGCCTCGGTTAGCGCAACACATGGACCATTTGCAAAGGATATCTGATGGTAAGCATTGTGTATCTAATGTATAGGTAATGAAAGTATTATAGTGGTCGGTCATTTTAAGGTTAATAAGTAAGATGTACTTAAAAGATGTTCAATTAAAAACAATATCTGTGGAACTCCTTTTTCTAGGTGGTGGTGTTGAACCGCCTCTACCTGATGTATTTACCATGCAATGGTTCCTTACATTGTACGCCACATGGCTACCCAGGGAATTCCTCTTGAGGATATGGGATTTGGTACTCTTGGATGGCAATGAAGTGCTACTACTTACCGCGCTGGCTATATGGGATATGCTTCAAGAGTAAGTTTTGTTTTCATATCTTTCTTTGTTTATAAGATTTTCGACCTTAAGATTTTGCAATATATTTGATAAATAATCTAATATACATGTTTTACGGTTTAGGAAAGTCCAATTGTACAGAGTAAAGCCATTTTGTGTCATATAAATGAAATGCTTTATTTCAAAGGAAATGTTCCATTTTCTTCAGTCACTCTTTAATTTAACGGATTTTATCTTCGAATGAAACCAATATGCGCTGTTTATTATAGAAATAAATTGCTAACATAAAAGTTTACAGTTAAGGTTATAGGCTAACACGTTATTCTATCCTTAACCTATACCTATTAGATTTAAATACAGCGTCTATATATATTATCATAAAAAGCAGACATTAACTTAAATGTTTTTCTTTCATAGTATTTGTTTCATAGACTGTGATGAATAAAATAAATGTTTTAATTATAAGGAAAATTCAACTAATTGAATAAATGACATCATTCCACCGGGATTCCCAAACTGTATGCGTTCCATACAATTGTAATGTGTCTTTAAAAACACAAGATATCTTCTTGTGTACTTATTAAAGTTACTTTTGTTTAGAAGAATAAGTAATATTGTTAGTTATTTTTCGCTAAAATTTTACATATCAGTTGTTTTTAGCAGTTTTCTTAAATTAGTATGGAGGGATGAGGGAGATGATATGAAGGGATTTTCACCAATTTTAATATGCAATAATTAAATGACTGAAACCGATATAAAGCGCATAATCGCCGAGACACCCCCGCTTTCCTGTTATCTCTGTTATCGTATCCGAGTTATGACTGATAAGCGATAATAGCACTTAATGCCTATATGGCTTATTCCTGTTTAGGTTACAAGCTAGATATTGAGATATAGGTACTCGAATATTCGATACTGCTTCGATAGATGATTGCCAGAAAGGGCCAGGGACGACCAAAAGCTTTTGTTAAGTCTTGATTAATTTACAAGTTAATGACTACATTTACTTATTTTGAAGTTTAAATAACAGTATATTGTATATTTTAATATTTTTCACTAGCAGAAATGGTTGAAGAAACTTTACATAAGGTAGAAAGAAACACAAAAACTCTCTTAGAAAAATGAAACAGCAAAGAATGGTTATATTTTTCAGCCGTATTCTGTCGGCCCGGTCTGCGGATGAGTTCTACAGTTGCATGGGTGGTGGCGCCGGTGCTGTATGGGAGGCTGGCGACTCTTTAGTAGCGAGGGTCGTGGCTTTCGGCTCTGCACCGGAGCTGCCCCGACTTCGCAGCCTTCATAGATATCGTGTGGCCCCACCAGCACCACCCACTTCAGCTCCCATATATCACCCACCTTTACACTCTGCAGTACGTCCAACTTTCTTTAATATTATGTCCTTACTTTCATACTACCACTGTATACAATTTTAATTCTCCTCACCGGGATGAGATTATTTAGAAATATTATATTTTTTAAACGTTGCCGCACATTAGGATTTTCTCCTGTGTCGTGGATGCGTTCACAAACATACAAGTTCACATACACATGACATCCAGACTCGGAACAATGATCTGTGGATCACACAGAGAGTTATTCTGTGCGGGAATCGAACCCGCGACACGTTGCGCGGAAGCCATTTGCCCAACCACCGCGCCAACCGTGCAGTCAAAATATCCAAAAACTTTGACCAGTCCATCTAAAACTTTCAATGGTGTGCCTAACTTTCATTAAAACAAACAATAAACATGTAACTTATGAGTTTAACATTTTAGATGCAGTCAATGACAAAACGTGGTCTGCGTCTGTTTTATTCAGAAGATGAAGGGGACTCTAGTGATGATGGCAACAAAATGGCTTTGGCCACGGTAAGAATTTTAGACAAGAAAGCTTTTAATGCCAACACTGTTCATAGAATGATAAAAATATTTTCTTTTCGCAGTTCGTACCTCGACGAGAAGATCGTTTAGCAGCAGGAGATAGATTGTCTTTGGATATCGGTGCATTGAAACGGCAGTACGCTCGCCTAAGAGAACGACAAAGACAAGCACATGTAATACTAGCCGCAGCTTGTGCTCGACACGCTGCAGGTAAAGCATTACTTACACACTACTAAATTAACTGAAAATCACGGGCTACTCACATGAATATACTGAGAAAAGCTCTACTAGTTTCGAACCCTCTGTGGTTCTTCCTCATGAGCAAATGCGCGGCCGCGACGATGTTGCGCAGCCTACTGCGCGATATCGCCCTGTTCGTTGGTTTGTCCGTTGATCCAAAATAGGAAAATACTGCAAATAATATCTCTAGAATTATTTCATTCATTTTTTTTTCTTTCCAGTGGGTGTACCTACCTCCCCGACGTCACTTACAGTTAATAACCTTCTTCTGGGCAAGAGTGCATTAGTTAGCTCCAGAGGAAGAAGACTTGGTCCGCCCCCAGGAGCAATACCACCATCACGACAAACGTCGACTCGTGACAAATCAGAGCCACGCTCACGACAGTCAAGTGACACTATCAGTTGGAATGAAGAAAAAAGCCGTAAGACCCTTAGCAGGAGAAATTCTGTAAAATGGAAAGATATAAAGAAAGATAAAGTGAAACAAAAAGAAAGGAAAGCTTCCATTGATTTAGATGAAGCTGGTGATGGAATTATTGTTTCTGAAATTGAAGCTAACCGAATGATAGCTACTGTGAGGTCTCGTAGCTCCAGTGAAACATCTTCTTATTCGTCACACAGTGCTTCAAGTACAGATACGAGTTTGTGTGATGAAAACGAAAGAGGCAGTGATTCCGAACCAGATATGCCGAATGATGAAAAAGATAAGAGTAACTTGAATGCCAAGTATAAGAATATTTCGTCTCCACCAACTTCTAAACCAAGCAAAAGTAGTCATTCCCTAACTAAAAAACCTGTTCTATTACATACTCCTGACAAGGAAACAACAATGATATTGGATGACAAACCTATCAAAAATATATCTGAATATTTAGATTCTGCGGCAGGTGAGCCGCTCCGAACTTACATTGATGGATTTGAAAGCAAGATAAAGGACAGTTTAAAAATTACTAATGATATCCCTGTTTTCAATCCAACCAGTATATCTCCATGTTCTCCACGTATGACCTCTGAAAGAAATGAAGTATTACAAAGACTTAATAGAACAAAATATGAAGAAAACTCCACAAGTAGAGAAATCACAAGGCCTACAAGTTTTACAAAGTCACCAAATGTCTTTACCGAACTCAGTCCCATTGATTTATCGCCGTGTAATTGTAGCGTGGGCCCTAAGTCTCCTTATGAGTATGATTTTGAAAAAAACTTTAAAAGACCACCGTTAGGCGAGCCTGTATCGAGACCACCCGATATCATCGATAGTTTCACGATGTATCCAAATTTTGTGCCTGACATAGATTTATCAGATAAGAATATATCTGACTTTGAAAGTCCCCCAGGAAGTCCCGGCAGTGAAAGTATCATAGTGAGTGAAGACGAACCGCCAATACCTTTAAAAATTGATAAATACTTTGAACATAGTCCAGAATTTTTTGGTGCGCGAGTTACGGATCCTAATAGTGCAGACATTCCAAATCGGCGATCTACAAAAAGGTTATCACGTCTACCAAAGAAGCCAGACTCATTAACATTACAAGGTAACCATAACGACAAACTCATAAAAGAAGAAGCAGAGAGAGCATCATCGCTACCGCAAAGTCACAGTTTTGCAAAGAAAATTTGTGAGGAGTATAAAGAACCAGACTTTATTGCTGTTCAAAAACGAGAAACTCCAGAAACAAGCAAAGAAGAGAGAGACATTTTTTCTCCTAAAGATTACATTCTACAAACTGGACGGAAAAATAGTGAAAGAGCCTTACAAATAATTCAAGAAAACTCCAAAATTCTAAGTAGAATCTTAACAAAACAAAACATGGTCGAAGTAAAGAGTCCTACAAAATATCAAGTCACAAAAAGTGATGAGAATGTTCTCGAGAAACAACGAAATAGTTATTCTAAGACAGTTCCTGAAAAAACTGTTGAGAGTAAGCTCATTGAGTCGCCTTTACTAAAAGAATCTACCTCGGATTCATTAATAGGCTATAGAAAAAGAAATGTCAATGTAGGATCAACTGAAAATAACGATTTTGTGCGGATTCGACCTATTTCTATTGATGACCCCTTTTCTTTAGAAATTCGAAACTCGACAACAAGAGAAGAGGAATTTTCAATAAAACACACAAAAAGTCCAAGTAGTGAATGTTTAGGTAATAAGACCGATTTATATGGGTGGGAAAATAAAGGGTTTTTAGCAAAATGTGATCATAAAAGTTTTCTAGAGAAAAGTGAAAATTTTGATTTCGATTATCAAAGGAAAACCAGTGATTTGTCAAGTTACGGTGACTTATCAAATAAAGACCTTAAGCCTGCAACTACATCTGACTGGACTCGACATTCTTTTTCGGGCGAGTCCAAAGCGTCAGTTACTTTGCCGTCTTCGGAACCAAAAGATACGTCAACATACGAGAAGCGATTTACTTCCGATGACTATAACTATCAATTTTCAAGCAAATATAACGACTTTGTGTTGTCTAAAGCTAGTGATATTTGTAGCAAAACGGTTAACCAAGGACCGAAAGTTTGCGAAAATGTATCTAAGACTGATAACAGCCAAGTTAGTGACTTTGCTCATGTTGTGACCTCTTCTATTAGTTTCACGTATGAACCATCAGCAGAGGACGACTCGCCGACTGGAGCCAAGAGTAACTCTAGTGATACTTTATGTCAAATCACTTCACTAGATCAAGTATCCACTCCGATATCACCTAAGATATTCCCCAACAGAGAAACTCCCACTATTCCTAAAGACTATACAGAAAAGAGTGATAGAACAAAAGTAGAGTCAGACGATACTTGCAGTGCTATCACGTCGCTCATTGAAACAGATACGTTGTCCTCGTTGTCTTACCCACGCAGTCCTTCAACAGGCTCCTACCACCCCTTCCCCACACGTCCTGTACTTCGCATGCCCAAAGAGTTAGGAGTAAGACTGGGCATGTACCCTAAAGATGTAATCAATTCTCCACCAAAGTAAGAATAATTAATCAAGTTATGTATTAAAGACACTATTTCTAAGGTTGTTTTGTCTCGAATTATCCAAGATCAATTTTAATATGTACGTGAAAATATTGTTATTGATATTTTCTGCTTTAATGATACTATACCTAGATTAATTGAACACAGATTTTTAGAACTTTATTATTTTAAACTAGTTTTTCTGTTTTACATAAATCATATTATGTTATTACAACGTTTTTGAATATGAATCTTACCTGCTGCTAGTTTCCATATTTAAGTATTTGTTTTGTGTTATATTATAGCTTGAGGGCTAGAAATGTTTTCTCTATTAATATTACAGTTTAGAAATATTATACGTACATTTGAAATGCAAAATGTTTCACTGAATATATTTAAAGGCACGAGGAAGTTTATAAATTAAAATTGTTATGAAATGTGAAACCTTTGGTATTTCAGATAGTAATTTGAGCTAGTAACAAAACAAACACGTTGCCTTGAATCCAACTTAAATGTTATGCGTAATAATAATAATCATTCGCAATATTAAAATATATGTACAATAATAAGGTAGATAGATTACTGTTTGAAGTCAATATTATTTACGGCAATTACTTATTTGTACTGCTATAGAATAATGTGCAAAAAGAAGAAGATTATGTTGTTAGAGACAATATTTTATTCTACGACAGTATTGAGAAAATATACATAATGCGACAGATGGTCAATTTGTTTATTATTCGTTGTTACATTCCTATATTATACATTAATAATACAAAGTATATGAGATGTTTATTATGTCATCTCATGATCTAAGCGTTTTAACTCAGAAATCATCAAGAACCGGTGGACAGGTGCAAACAAGATGTTTGTCTCCGTACATGTCATCGATGCGACCGACTGTTGGCCAAATTTTCGTCTCCCCTTTAACAAAAGGCTGAAACAGAAATATTAATGTTAAACTAATTATAAAATTAATCGCCTTTCCATTCTTAGTCTATGTATTAGTTTCACCTTTATATCCATAGACAGTGTCAACTCTATATTAATAAATGGTCTATGATTCTGTGGTACAACGAGTGTAGTTTATTTAATCTAATTTCCTTAATTAATAATAAAGTCATCAGGTTATGGGCCCAGTAAAGCCAAAATCGAGAAAAAAAAGTGTTTGCAAACTTTATTAAAAGACTAAATACCAAACATAAACAATCTCGTGCCGGTGAAGTGGTAGTGTGTATCGACTTAACCTTACAAGCCGCGTGGTTCAGTTTTACAAATCGTCGCAAGTCGTAGAAAATACCAGCAATCATGGCTAGTAGCAATCCTCTGGCACTAATAGAGAAACTAACAGGCCGTGAAAACTACAGCACCTGGCGGTTTGCTGTAAAAACATATCTTCAACACGAAGAACTTTGGGAATGCATTGAAAATCCCAATAAAGAACCATTCGACACAAAGAAGGACACAAAAGCCAAATCTAAAATAATATTACTTGTCGATAGTATCAACTACGTTCACATCCAAGAGGCAAAAACAGCAAAAGAAGTGTGGGAAAACTTGTCCCGCGCTTTCGACGACTCAGGGCTTACACGCAGAGTTGGCCTGCTACGTGATCTCTGCACCACTACACTCTCTGGCTGCCAAAATATAGACGAATATGTAAGCAAGATAATGTCTACAGCACATAAACTCCGAAATATAGGATTCCAAGTTGATGATGAGTGGCTCGGGACACTTTTACTCTCCGGGTTACCTGAACATTATAAACCCATGATCCTTGCTATTGAGAGCTCTGGGATGAAAATTAGTGCAGACTCTGTTAAATCTAAATTACTACAAGAAGTAAAATCTGAAAACAATAACTCTGCTTTTACATCTGGGCATGGTTCTCAAATCAAGAATGTGAAAAAGAAGTTCAACAAAGGTCCTAGATGTTTTCAGTGTAACAAATATGGACACAAGAGTACAGAATGCAGGTCAAAACCGAAAGAAAAGGTTGCTAAATCAAATAGTTCATATGCTGCCGCATTTATTATTCCGTTTAAGAACAACAGCTCTGAATGGTATATTGATTCTGGGGCAACCATGCACATGACAAGACATCAAAACCTTCTTCAAAATGAAAACTCTCCACCTATAAAACAAATCAAAGTTGCTAACAACAAAACACTTTCAGTGAGTAGCTCTGGTAATGTAACATTGAATACATTGAATGGAGAAAATCGATCAAATGTAATTCTATTTACAAATGTCTTGTATGTACCAGAACTTGCAGTAAATCTAATATCTGTACATCAAATTACAGAAAATGGTGGTCAAGTTAAATTTGATTCCAAAGGCTGTACTATACTGAACAGACAAAATGTTATTGTAGCAACAGCAACAAAAGTTAACAACATGTACCGGCTTAACATGAATACTGATAATGCATACATGTCAGATGTTAAACGAGATGACATATTTCTATGGCATCAAAGGATGGGTCATCTGAACTTAGACACCCTGAAGAAATTGAAAGAGAATTCTGAGGGATTCACATTGTCTGATAAACAAGTAAACAATATAACTTGTATAACATGTAAAGAGGGCAAGCAAACAAGAATGCCTTTCAAGAGTCAAGGATCACATTCCTCGAGGCTGTTGGAACTGGTGCATTCTGACTTATGTGGCCCTATGGAAACTCAGTCATTAGGAGGGGGCAAATACTTCCTAACATTTTTGGACGATTATTCCAAAAAGGTATTTGTGTATATTTTGAACAACAAAACTGAGGTATTGTCAAAATTCAAAGAGTTCAAAACAGAAGTTGAAAATCAAACTGAATGTAAACTCAAATGTATTCGAACTGACAATGGCCTAGAATATGTCAACAAACCATTCTCTGACTTCCTAAAGAATGCTGGAATAAGACATCAAACATCAACTCCTTATACTCCCGAGCAAAATGGAGCTGCAGAGAGGTTAAATAGGACTTTAGTCGAGAGAGCAAAGTGTATGATTCTGAATGCTGGCTTAGCAAAGTTTTTCTGGGCTGAGGCTATAAAAACTGCTGCATATATCATTAATAGATCTCCAACTAGATCCTTATTGTTTAAAACACCTGAAGAGGTTTGGACTGGACATAAACCAAATATCAGTAATATGAAAGTGTTCGGGTGTGAAGCCATGGTCCATTTACCAAAAGAAAAACGCAAAAAGTGGGATCCAAAAGCACAGAAAATGATTTTTATTGGCTATTGTGAGAACACAAAAGGGTACAGGTTCATATTACCAAATACAAGAACTATAATAAAAAGCAGGGATGCTGTATTTCTGGAATGTACTGTGAAGAGGAATTATGTCACCATGGAATTATCTGAAACAGAAAACAAAACACTTGATATACATTGTAAAAGTAATGAAGAAAGTTTAATGTCAAATGAGTCCAATGAAAAAAACAGGGATGAATCTTGTTATTCAGATAGCTCATATAATACTGTCAATAATAACTCGGATTTAGATGAATACTTACCAGAAATCAAGATTGATACTCCTCCCCGAAGCAACATAACATTGAGACCTAGAAATAAAAACAAAGAACAAACTTACCTTTGCTATGATGAACGCTTAGTGCCTGAGCAAGTCCCTGAAACGTACAAAGAAGCTATTAGATGTGTGAATGCTGAAAAATGGAAAAAGGCTATAGAAGAGGAACTTGAAGCCCATGAAAGAAATGGTACATGGATATTGGTAAACAAACCTGAAAATACAAACATCATTGGCTGTAAATGGGTCTTTAGAGTAAAAGACCAACCAACAGGTCCTCGCTTCAAGTCCAGGCTTTGTGCAAAGGGTTATGCACAGGCAGCAGGTATCGACTATAAGGAAACATACTCACCTACTGTCAGGTATGATTCAATACGTGTATTATTATCTCTAGCTGCTCAAAATGGTTATGAAATTCTTCAACTGGACATTAAAACAGCTTTCCTGTATGGGGAACTGAAAGAAAACATATATATGTATCCCCCTGAAGGTCTAACATATGAACCCAATAAAGTATGTAAATTAATAAAGTCACTGTATGGTCTTAAACAAGCACCACGTTGCTGGAATACCACATTCAATTCTGTACTTCAGAAATTTGGCTTCATAAATAGTAAGGCAGACCAATGTGTATATGTTGCAAATATTAAAGGAACAAAGTGTTATCTCTGTATTTATGTAGATGATGGGCTACTATTTTCTAAATCAAAATCTGTTCTGCAATCTGTAACAAACGATTTGAAAACAATATTTGATATGACAATATGCCCACCTGGAAACTTTGTTGGAATGGAAATTCAAGTTTTTGAAAAGTATATCTTTATACATCAATCCAAGTATATCAAACAGTTGCTAAATAAATTTAATATGGATAATGCCAACCCCAACAGCGTTCCAGTTGATCCTCACTCAAAGCTAGAGAAAAGTGAGAACCAGCCTGACAAGCATCTTCCTTACAGAGAAGCTGTTGGTTCTCTGATGCATGTCGCCATAGTAAGCCGACCAGACATAATGTTTGCTGTGAGCCTGGTGAGTAGATTTTTGAATTGCTATGATGAATCTCACTGGACAGCTGTCAAGAAAATTCTAAAGTATCTAAAAGACACTATCAATTTTGGCCTCTGCTACCAATCAGTAAAATCTCCTGAATTAGTTGGCTATAGTGATGCCGACTATGCTAATGACATCACAACTAGAAGGTCAACAACTGGTTACATTTTCATCAAATGTGGAGCTGCTGTAACATGGTGTAGTCAAAGGCAACACACTGTCGCTCTGTCAACTACGGAAGCAGAATTTATGGCGGCCTGTAGTGCCACCAAAGAAGCTATTTGGATTAAACAATTATTGTGTGATCTTGGTGAATTCAAACAACAATTAGTAGTGATTAATATAGACAATCAAAGTGCAATAAGTGTTATTAAAAATATAAACTTTCACAAGAGGTGCAAACATATAGACACTAAATATCATTTTATTAAAGAAAAGTATTATGGTAGAGTTATTGATTTGAAATATGTTTCAACATGTAATCAACTTGCCGATTCCCTAACTAAGGCTTTACCGAGAGATAAATTTCAATATATGAGAGTCAAAATTGGAATGTTATCTATAGATATGTTATGTAATCTTTAATCTAATTAAGTAAGTTTACTTTGTTTCTGTTGTAAATTATTCATCTTTATTATAATTTCTCACCCAAAACTTGTCAAAACTTAATCTAATTTCATTAAATCTTTCAACTTCAAGACAAAATAAAAAGAAATGGTGCTGAGATTTGACTCACCGCAGGAAAAGCAGCTTGTTCCCGACTGTAAGGACGGTTCCAATCCTCTGTGATAACTTCAGCCTGTGTATGTGGTGCCATCTGTAATATACCGCATTAATATAGTGTACCAATTTGTATTCGAGAGTTATCCCACCAAATCACGTTGAATGTTGTGTTACCTTCAGAGGGTTAAGTCTCTTGTCCATAGTTCCATCTTCAATATCCTTGATTTCCTTTCTGATGGCGATAAGAGCTTCACAGAAGCGATCCATCTCTTGAAGATCTTCTGACTCCGTGGGTTCTATCATTAAAGTACCGGCCACTGGCCATGACATCGTGGGAGCATGGAAACCTTAAAAAAATAACAACAAAAGTAATGTGAAATTTTGTTGTTTTTAATCATATACATAGTCAGTCATATTACTATTTTTATAATTTGAAGAAAACTTACCGAAGTCCATAAGTCGTTTGGCAATATCCCCTGGTTCTATATTAGCAGTCTTCTTTAAATCTCTTACATCTATTATAAATTCATGAGCAACTAGTCCTCTTTCGCCTCTGTACAAAGTTTTGTAATGACCTTCCAGTCTCTTAGCCATGTAATTTGCGTTGAGAATCGCCACTTGAGTCGCACGTCTCAATCCTTTGGGACCCATCATCTAGAAGAATGGAGCATAGTGAATGGATGAAAGTCTCCAAGTAAGATTACTGGATCAAGAAAATTAACTTGGCTTGAATAATACAAAATCTGTTGAGGTAATAAGACAACATTTCTTACTAAAGATTTTTAAAACTTGTACTCACTTTGATGTATGCCCAAGAGATAGGCAATATAGCTGATGATCCAAATGGTGCAGCACTGACTGAACCGAAACTATGAGCTGCGTCACCCAAATCGGCTAATGGGTCGACTACGGGATGTGACGGTAAGAAGGGCGCCAGGTGAGCTTTCCTGTAGGTTTAAAGCATTATAGTAGTTAAGAAGAAAAAAAACTGCCTCGTTGGACGAGCGGTCGCTAGTGCGACTGCCGGGCAAGGGGTCTCGGGTTCGATTCCCGGGTCGGGCAAAGTATTACTAGGTTCTTTTAAATAAAATTCTCAGTAGTAGCTCGGAGTCTGGAATTGTACCAATAGGCTCACCCCCTATTACATGGGACTCATAACATAAATAGTGAAATGTGGGTGTTACATTGTACAGTGATGTTATGTCATGTAATATTTTAAAATAATCTACCAAACGGACATTAAAATAAAAATTAGTCGTCAACCCTATTAAGCAATTGCTGCAAATGTATACAGATACATAGAGGTGTGAAAAATGGAAAAACCTAACAAAATATGCTTACACTCCAATGGGTCCCATTCCAGGACCACCTCCTCCATGGGGGATGCAGAAGGTTTTGTGTAAATTCAAATGTGAAACATCGCTGCCGTAATCTCCAGGTCGGCAAAGTCCCACCTGCAAGTGTTATTGCATTGAAAGTTATACTAAAACTATGTTTCTTCTTAAAATTTTCAAGCGTTTGTGTTTCTTTCCACAATTACTTATTTACATGTTAGTCACAAACAAGATTGTGACGAATTAATTAAAATAAAATCAATCAATTTTGATAACCTACCTGAGCGTTCATATTGGCACCGTCCAAGTACACTTGTCCACCATGTTTGTGCACTAACTCACATACATCTGCAGCTTGCTCCTCGAACACGCCGAATGTACTCGGGTACGTCAACATCAAACAGGATATATTTTTGCTATGTTCCTCTACCTAAAATATATAATCTCCGTCAAAAATACAAATGCTGGTAATACAGTACCTATGTGATGCTACAAAAACAGGTTTTGTTATAATGCAGTAGTTAGGAATCTGATATCATTTCCCTTACCATATCTTTAAGATGTGCCATGTCTATATCACCAGAAGGTGTCACGCGTATAGCACAGACACGCATACCAGCCATGTGTGCAGATGCAGGATTAGTGCCGTGTGCACTCACTGGGATCAGACAAATGTTACGCTTTGTATCCCCACGGAACTCATGGTACCGCTTTATTGTACGTAACCCAGCGTATTCACCTTGAGCACCACTGTGAAGTTAAAAACGAAATATTTGTGAAAACTTGTATACTTCCTCATGAGCGAGTTGCTCATAAAAGTTAATTCAGTACACTGAAACTTACCTGTTAGGTTGGAAAGAGACACGATCGTAACCAGTAATCGCACACAAGTCATTTGCTAGTTCTTCAAACAACTGATGGTATCCCTGACACTGATCCAGTGGAGCAAACGGATGGATGTCAGTAAAGTGCTTGAAGGAACAAGGCATCATTTCTGTCGTAGAGTTCAACTTCATAGTACAAGATCCCTGCAATAAACGTCCATATTAAATAATATGACTTGAAGGAGTAATGAGCAATTATGTGCAAATACTGATAAAGACCCCCCGGTCATTTCACGTTCTACAACAATGCTTTGATAAACTTCTGCGATAACTTAAATTAAAAGTCAGCTGATAAAGATACTTGAACTTGACCTGAACAGCAAAACATATTAAAATCTTACCAATGGTATCATTGAATGTACAAGTGACACATCTTTGTTCTCCAGGCGCTTCATGTATCGCACTATTCTGGTTTCGGAGTGATGCATGTTGAATACAGGATGCGTGAGGTATGGAGATGTTCTTCTGAATGGACCTTGCTGTATGCTGCGAGATCTTACATCGTCACTTTTTGTAACCTGGAAATTAACAACAATTTTCTTCATAATCTTTTTTTGGTAATTTTAATTTTAACGTCGCTTAAAATTAAGTATAACCGGGAAAATTACACAGGATAATTATGAAATTTACAATACAAACCTCTTCAACAGGCTTACAATCGAAGATCCATAATAAGTCATTAACATCCTCCATGGTAGCGGTCTCGTCGAGGGCTACTCCTACGGCACCATCATCGAAGTATCTCAAGTTAATCTTCTTTTCCTGTGCCCGAGCTTTGATAGCAGTAGCGTCATGGTCCGAAAGAGGTACAACATGAAGGGTGTCGAAATATACATCGTTTGATTGTTTGTGACCACGTTGTCTGATTCCTGTAAAATTTAAATATTAGTTAGCGTAGAATGCGTAAATTTTTATTGAATTCGTGATAAAAATAGGAGAATCAGACAACCTAAGGTAGGTTTTTTCATACTATTAACTTACTGCATGCATCGTATGTATTTGGTACTTACCATGATCCAGCACAAGTGTAGCGTTGTGAACCCTAGTTGCAATGTCCCTCAAACCTTGTGGGCCATGGTAGACTGCATACATGGCGGACATATTAGCCAAGAGCGCTTGTGCTGTGCAAATGTTTGACGTAGCTTTATCTCTTCGTATGTGTTGCTCTCTTGTTTGAAGCGCTAACCTTTACGGAAAAACATTCATGGTCTTAATTATAATCGAAGAATATTAAATAATAACAGGTACTATGACTACTTGGAATGTTACTGCACCTGTAAGCATCTCTTCCCGTCGCATCTCTAGTAACACCAACCATACGACCAGGCATCAGACGCACCAACTGATGTTCAGCTGCGAAGAAACCAGCGTGTGGACCTCCATAGCCTAGAGGTACGCCTAAACGTTGGGAAGTACCGACAGCGAGGGCTGCTCCACATTCTGCAGGTGGGCGCAGAAGAGCGAGGGCCAGTAAGTCTGTAGCAACCACTACTAGTGTCTGTAAACAATAAGTTTAATGTGATAGAACATATTCCTCCAAAAATGAAAATTTGTGGCTCGTAAAATAGGAGACACTTTTATTTATTTAGATCATAGGCTTGGTGGGCTACAGATCAACGAGACAGTCACTTCTGCATTTAGAAAATAAGAATACGTACGCCATGTTCATGTGCAGCAGATGCCAGTCCAGAGTAATCGTACACCAAGCCCCTAGTGTCAGGACATTGCAATAGTACTGCTGATATATCTCTCTGTGCGAAGTCCACTTGTCTAACATCAGGCACCACATTTACTTCTAATCCTAGTGCATCTAAACGCGTTAGCACAACAGCTAAAGTTTGAGGATGCAGTCTTTCTGATACTACAAATTTCATTCGTTTATTGAGTCTGTAAAAGAAAATAATAATTACTTAAATGCTGCATGTTATGCATGATATATGGATGATACAGATCATGACACACGAGACCATCTTACTGGGGGCAATGTTTAAAAAAATATAAATAATTTAACATCACCTCGTATGGAAACAGTACACTTTGTAATCTGTGTTATTAAAAACCTTGGCCTCTCAGACCAATAAACTTTATCAACATATAGGTAGGTACATGATTGTGTCTACGTACCTATGGCACAGCGATAGCGCTTCAGCAGCAGCTGTGCCTTCATCCAGCAATGATGCGTTAGCTACATCCAAACCAGTGAGATCACTAACCATAGTCTGATAATTAAGAAGACTTTCCAATCTTCCTTGCGCTATTTCGGGTTGATACGGCGTGTATTGTGTCGTCCTGGAAGAATAATATACAAATAAGTAATTAAGAGGGTTGTGTATATGTGTCTAATTACACAAACAACTCAATTATTTCATGGTCATTTATGATGAAACAGATAAGTTTGAACTCGTGAAGTTAAAATGATAATCACCATCCTGGGTTTTCGAATAAGTTGCGCATAATGCTATGCGGGACACAACAATTGTGGTATCCCATACCAATGTAGGATCTCCATATTTGATTCTTCTCTGATATTTTACGTACTGTTTCAATGAGATCGTATTCACCTGCAACAAAAACGCGATTAAGTAAACGTAAATTGACATTGCATTTACGTATAGGTATATAATGAAAGCCCCGCGCAATTTTGAATATTATGGTTTAGTAAAAGTAACTTAGATATTTTTTTTTATCGATTCGATGTAAATGTGTTTACTTAGATTGTTAAAGTACAGGTTTTTTACTTACTCATAGGTTCACTAATGTTCATGAGACCTTGTAGTTGAATTTTCTTAGGCACCGCATCATCGGTTAATTGATCTAAGCTCTATAAAAGACACAAATAAAACAAGACAAGTAAGTATTTTTAATAAAGAAAAGTATAATAAAAAATCAATATTCACACAGCATTTATCTTACCTTATAACCGAGCAAATCTAACATAGTCACTACATCTTGATCTCGAGGTCCGATGTGTCTGCTAGGGAAGTCTACACGTTCAGGGAACAAACTATCCGATTTCGTACTCTGAGTTATACAACGTACACCGCTCTTCCACAATTTCCCGCCCTGAAAGTCTTTTTGAAGACAGTCAAAAGCATTTCTAGGAACTAAACCACGTTTAATTAATCTATACATTTTTAATTGTTAGCAATGTGCAACAACTAAAATGTTTTAACCATTTTATTGTCCGACTTACGAAAGCGACAGTGATGTACTGATAGAAGGGTCAAAGCGTCTCACAAGTACAAGAGATAACGAGAAATAAATAATTATTATAATGATTATTTGTAGTACACAGTAGTAGCAATTATCACCATTAATACTATTGACTTTAAAGTAATGACGACATACAAAAGCAGTTTTAGAAAATAATATTTTCCACTTGATCAAAACAATTCAGTTATTCACAACAGCTAGTTATTAATAAAGCAAGTATACGATAACATGAATGTCTCATACAATCTAAATGCGTATTAAATAGTTTTAATAACATTAAAAGTCAACAACGAAATAATGTAAATGTAGTTAACCCTAAAAACAAAGTCTAAACAGCTTCGACTTCGATTTGTCTTTTAGTACATACATTTTTGGCTTGTACTTTTTAACAGAATTAATTAACTAGTGATTCCCAGACCATAGGCAAAAAATACTGCCCTCCTTACCTATGAATTTAATAATACACATAACTGTGTCTGTGAACGTACTTACCCTATGATGTTCTTTCATCTATGTTCCATCATGCCCCTGTTGTTACGGTTCATATTTTTTGAATTCAGAAAGTAGTTGTGTTCATGTTTCTAACGGCTCCTGATTCGTTGTTTATTGCCAGGGCTTTTTTTTGTTAGCTGCATTTCCCATAATGCTTAAAATACAATCGACTGATATAAATTCTAGGTATGGTTCAGATAATAAAATGATTATGTAACCATCTTATGTGTTATGTGGAATGAATTACATACGTATATGTATAATACCCAAATACCTAACCATACTTACATCACATAGATTTTATCACGCATTTTAATTTTCCAGAGGGCAGGTAAAAAAGTAAATACGTACCTACATTGCCAATGCCATACTTTACACCGATTACATTGTGTCTTATGAGGGTATGAGTCTATTGTAGTCTCTAGAAACTCAATATTGTTTCCCAGACGACTAATTGAACTCTAATTAAATAGATATTAATGAGTAGGTAGGTGAGTCGCGGAGCTCTTAACGGGTTGTCGGAGCTCCAGTTAGGAAAAGGATGGTTTTTAGTCAGTAAGAGTCTGACACTCCCTCTCGCCTCATCCGGGGGAGAGAAGTCATTGGATGATATTCCCCCTTATAAAAGAAGTAGTAAATAAACACGTTCGCTATAAAAAGTCATCGTATGTGAGGGACCTTAGTCTTTACCTCAAAGGTTAAAAAACAAAACATTATAGGTTTATAGGTCCAACGATACGATAGGCTGTTTGTACAATATTACTTTGCGCTAAACTCTGCGAACAGAAATAAGAGCTAAGTACCTAACCTACTAGTAAATGCGTAAAACTAAAAGTCTATAATAATATGTAATATATAAATATGTAATATAAATGTAGTATATACAAAATTCTCGCGAGTTTGCGGATGGCGAACAAGGGTAACTCGCAGGCCAACAGATGAGCAGCAGAACCGCGTGTAGGTACCTAGGGCGTGTCACTGTCAGATCACCACAGACGAGACCCAATAGGGCTGGTCGATCGATGACCGACCGGAGACCTCGGTAACTTATGCTTAAACGAGTTGGGTGAAACAGGGTTTTAGTCAGTAAGAATCAGAAATTCCTTGAATGATGGGAGGGAGGGAGGAATTACTGATTGATTTTCACAAACCTCCTTCTATTAAAAGGCCGTAACAGATATATTAGTGCCGCCATAATTCTACTATATATCTCCATTAGGTACCTACGTATTATTAAATATTTATTATGAATGTAGGTACTACATACCTACATGTTTTCCAAGAATGAAAGTTGTAAGTTTGTGTTTACATTGCTTAACTTGATACCGCTACTGATTTATACTCAATGCATAACTAGGTAAACATGGGTAACCAGGGAGTTCGAGTTATTTTGGAGTCATAGCAAAAAAGGGAATCCCCTTCCGTAAATTACATGCGTTTCATTTCATGTAAGTAATAAAATTAAAATACTTGTCAACATAATTCGTCGAAATGTCACCGATAATAGAATATTATAATGTAATAATTCTCTAAAACTATTGTATCATAAAAATAAAAACACAGTAAACTTTTTACTATATTATTCACGTGTATTTTTATTCTTTTATGCAATTTTTAATTTTATTTATTTGTGAAATGGAACACCAACGTCAGTGTTTCGGTTTCCAAAGTTTGTGATGAGCGTGCGTATGTGTGTGCGTGTGAGTCACTCACATTGAGTTGATATTTAATTTTGTAGATATCAGTTAAATAATCTTACAAAAATTTTTGATAAAGTACAAGAGTTTACCAAGTGCCAACTTGTTGCCAACTTCATTTTATTCTGTAGAAAATAATATAGCATAGAAAATGCAATAAGTTTGTTACTGAGTGATCTTAGTTTCAATTCAAGGTGTCATAAATCAATCATCAATTTATTAAGTTAGTAACAGTGCGTTGTGAAAAAGCATAATAAAATGACACTATCAGAATATGCTCAATTAAAACAATACATAATCTTCTCAGTTGGATCAAATGAAAGACACAGTGAAATAATAAGTTCTATGAAAGAATTTTTTAGGGATTCTATCAATTCTGTGAGGAAGTTTGAACAAATAAACAACATAAATCAGCTGTTGAAAATTTTAGAAATAAGAGATGTATTATCTGAAGATAATGTAGAATGTCTGAAGAATATTGCTATGAAACTTCCGAATTCTAGGGATGTGCTACAGAAAATAGCAGACTATGAAAAAGAACATGTTCCCAGGGAATATGCAAACTATTATGGTGAGTGTAATTGACATTTATTCACTTATGTAAGTAATGGAAAATATACTATTTCCATTATTTACTACCAGTGTACTATATGTATTTATTGCAAATATTTTTAGTAATTTCTTTATTCCAGCTGCAAAACCACAAGATCTCAAGAAAAAAGGATCTGAAGACAGCTATATTAGTACCAGTCCGTTATCGAATATGAGCAAACGAAAGAAACAGAGAATTTTTGACACAATTACTCAAGAAATTGGTAGTTTCTGGCGTGACCTTGCCAGGAATTTGCAAATACGAGAATGGGTGATTGACGATATTGATTTTCAAAACCAAACACTTCATGTGAAGGCTACAAAATTGCTGGAAGTATATGATTCAAAAGCTGATCCACAAAGATGGTTTTTCATTCTATGTGAGGCATTAGAAAAAAGTCGTAGAAAGGATCTAGTAAGGTCTATACAGGATATCATGGCAATGAATATTTGAAAAACGATTTAATTGTTTGTTTTGTGCCTATGAATAGCTTTATGACAAAAAAATTAAATATAATAGAATAGAGAAGTCGATTTATGGGAGTCTTTAGTTAGTATATTACCAATATTTGAATGGCACGAATGACCCACAAGATTTGGCCATAGTTCATGTCCGACACTATATTAAGCATGTTTCATTCCTATAATATAACATTTTTATTTTATTTATGCCATTTAGCTACTCAGTCTAAAACTCTGAATATAAAGAGATGATAAGTGTACATAATTATAAAATAAAAGTTACCATCGTTTTGTGGAATGAAAGATTATATTTTGAACATAAGTTTATTCAGTAACAAAGCACTTTAAGAACTAACATATTGTAAAGATAGATACATAATTATGAAATAGTATATTGAATATAAAGGTACTTAAAAATAGGGTTTAGAAATTTGATTTCAACAATTATTTAGTAAAATTGTATAAAAATAGTACTCAATATCCATAGCAAAATGTATACTTATGATTATTGTTGATTAATACATGGAATGTACTTTGGAAGACTTTTAATGGCTTTTATTTCAGTAAAACACTTACATACTAGTTTCTCTTAACAAACAACAATATTCGAGCAAAATAGGAATGCTTTAAAAATACTCTTAATGTATGGATAAATCATTTATATCAACACTGCATAGCATTTCTTTATTCACACTATATATAAACAAGAAAAGATTTCTAAAGTTCTATTGGTGTGATGCCCATGAATAGGCGTTTTGGAAGAGTCGCGACCAGGGGGAAGCTTGGCTCGTCGGGTTGGCGGCCCCGGCCGGCGCCGCCGCCGACACGCTGCACTGCCAGCGCAGCACGCAGCGCTCGGGGTGCGGCATCATTGCCACGTGGCGACCGTCGCGGGACCTCACTCCAGCAATACCCACTGACAACAAAAAAAATTAAGTATATGGTTAGGTTAGACAAATTCAAACTTTTTTTCTTGAGAATCTAAGATATTCCTCGAAAACACCGAAATATGATTGGGTCGTATTTGCTATACGTCGATGCCGTAGAGACCATGTTAGGAGAGTAAGATAAATAAACAGCAATGAAGTTATATTACCTGGGCTGCCATTAGGATTCATTGGGTATACTTCAGTAGGCTCGCCGTTATCATCTACATATTGCATAGCGACTTGTCCGTTGTCCTGTAGTTTGTCTAGTAGACGTGGTTCGGAAACAGTGAACCGACCCTCGCCGTGAGCTACCCACACTCCTAGCACACTGCCGCCCATTCCACGGAACCAGACGTCAGATTTATCTTCAGTAATCTTGACTGCACTCCAGCGACATTCAAATCTACAATGAAATAATGTTTTACATTTTAAACCTCATTGAGATATACAGTAAATTGAAGGGTCATATTATTAACATTGAAAATTAGTATTATTATTATTAATTAAATAAATTATTAATTTATTTACTTGTCACGTGTAACCCCAATACCTAAAACGTCTAACAAAACAGCTGTAGAGGAATACCGGCCAATTGCTATTCTATCATCATCCGCTTAAGTTTTCGAAAATGTGCTCCATAAACTTATATACGCACAAGTTGAGAAATACTTAAGTAATGCTCAACATGGTTTTAGACGTATGTAGGAGATCTGTCGAATCTAACTTATTAACTTTAACGGAGTATATCTCATCACAACTTGACAGAGGGCAGCAGGTGGACGTCCTATATTTTGACTTTCGGAAGGCATTTGACCGCATCAACAATGATATCTTGCTCGCGAAACTTAACTCCATAGGTGTATGCCCTAACCTTCTGCGTCTATTGGCCGATTACCTTCGTGACCGCCAGCAGTACGTGAGGTTGGGCATTTACGAGTCCAACACGTACCACACTCGTTCAGGCGTAAGTCAGGGCTCAATTCTCGGTCCTTTGCTGTTTCTTTTAATGATCAATGATCTCCCGGAGGTTCCTCAACATGCAGAATGTCTTTTGTATGCTGATGACCTAAAACTCTACGCTTGCGTCAACAGTATATCGGACTGTGAGGCTATTCAAAGGGACATCGACCTGGTGAATGATTGGGGAAATGCAAATAAAATGGAATTCAATCCCTCTAAGTGCTATGTCATGACTTTTGGTCGAAAGCGACACCCCATTACCTTCGACTATAAAATAAACGGCTCTTCTATATCTAGATCGTCAACTATGAGAGACCTGGGCGTCGTATTTGACCAGAAGCTGACATTTCACGATCATATTGCAACGGTTGCTAAGGAATCGTTTAAGAGACTTGGTTTCGTTCTGAGAAACTCACGAGATTTCAAGAATACGCACGTCATAAGACTCCTTTACAGCACGCTGGTCAGGAGCAAGTTGGAGGCGAGCTCCTGCATTTGGAATCCACACGAGGCCTCCTATTCTCTACTACTTGAAAAAGTTCAGAAGAAATTCTTAAGATTCCTTTACAAATCCTCTCTAGGCTACTATCCATACATGTACCCAACAAAATACTTGTGTGGATGTCTGGGATACAATATGCTGGAGACCAGAAGAGCGTTTGGACAACTGTACATTATGCTTAAAATCTGCAGAGGTATCATAGATGCTCCTGACCTTCATAATGAACTGATGCGATTACATGCTCCGACTAACTACCTCCGTGCTCGTCGGCACCGCCCACTGTCTGTGCCCGCATGCCGCACAGTGGCCCGTGCATCGTCCCCTATTCCCCGCGTCTTGTCCGCGCTCAATGGCCTCTTGGAAACCTACCCCGACTGTGAGCTATTTATTAATGACTTTAAAACTGTTCAGCGTTTATGTTTAAGTTTTTGTGAAAATGTTTAATACTGTTACCTCTATTACTGTTTATTGTTTTTTTAATTTATATTTTTATTATTGTGATGTGCTTTATTTTTTCTTTTATATCTTTATTTTGTCATGTGATTTGTAGCTACATACGATGTTTGTTTTGATATCTGTATATGTTAATGTAACTGGTGTAAACCGTATTAACATAAAATAAATAAATAAATAAAATAACTTTTACAAACTGCATAGCATTCTAACTATATTCGTCGCGGAGAACCTAAGGGGTTACCGGGACTCCGGCTCGACGTGCAGAAGGAACGGGGTGGTTTTTACTCAGTAAAAGTCTGACACTCCATCCCGCCTCACCCAGGCGGGAGCAGGCAATTGATGATATTCCCCCATTAAACTGTCAAACACCAAGCGGTCACCGGTGACCGCAACCTATTGTTCTATAATTGTGTCTATAATGACGGTACTCGATGAGTTAAAAAAAATCTAACTATATTAATATACCTTTCTGAAGTGTTGTGGTCAAGGAAAACTTGTGTTTTACTAGCACTCTTTTCTGTGGACTCCGGGTCTATCCAGCCGAGCAGTGCCATCAGCTGGCATCCATTGCAGACTCCTAGGGAGAATGTATCGTTTCTCTTCTTGAAGTGAGAGAATTGTGAGCTCAGGGACTCTGAGAACAGAATACCTGCTGCCCATCCCTTTGCGGAGCCCAATGTGTCTGTGAAACAAGATTTAATATTATTCAATTTTATCAGACTATTTAGACTGGTAATCCAAATTCAAGCCTTCAAATTTATAACATAAGTATACATTTTATTCATTTACAGTTCAATGATTAAGTATGTTACCTGCATAACTGAAACCACCAGGGAACACCAAGCCTTGGAATGCGTCCAAAGTGATCTTCTTGTTCTGAAGGTCACTCATTGTGACGTCGAAAACATCGAAGTTCGCCATCATTAGGGATGCTATCATCTCCCTGTCACCATTTGTCCCTACAAACAAGTAAATTATATATACATCATCATCATCATCATAATAAATTAGTCACAAGACGCCCATTGCTTTACATTGGCAACCGGCAACCAACCCCAATAAACTAACTAATTAATTTCCAGTTAAATACTGTTATGGGTAAATCAAGGTAAGAGGTGAAGATTTGATCAAGAGTCAGAGGCCTAAGTACGAGTTTGTTTTAAGCTTAAAGTAATCGTAACGAGTACGCGTTCGACGCTCTGATTTGTTGTTTCATTGGCGCCGGCCAATCAGATTGCCGAACGCGTACTCGTTTCGAATACTTTAAACGTAAATCAAACTCGTACTAAGGCCTCTGGAGTCTTTATTTTGGGGCTATGTTTTCTAAGGAACTTTATTTTTAATTACTGTACCTTCTTCACGCAACACAGCTACTCTAACAGACTTGGTCTTCACAACAGCTGCAGAAGGATCGAATGTAACGTTGTATGTCACACCCTTCCTCTTCTCAAGGCCTGTAAAACAGAATACATTTTTTTTAAAATTTCCTCCTTGTTTGTTTATTATTCTTTTCTGTGTCGCAGTTGCCATAACTGCGACACAGAAAAGAATAATACATAAGAATAGACATAAAAATAAATTGTGGAACACGACGATTTGAAGGTAATAATTTAAGTCCAACCAGCCTAATGACTGCGCCGTGGTTCAACAATTTCGAATATATGGTGGGAATAATTTAAAAAGTTCTTCAGTCAAATTATATCACCTTGCCATTCCTGACGGACACACTCAGTGTTTGCTTGCAAACATTCTAGTTGATAACTGGTTTCTTCCCACATCCTGTACACATCTATCAACTTTGTTCCAAGAACTTGTTTACCATTCACCTTAATAGAGACCTGGAAAGAAAAAACTACATTAAACAATAGAAGGAACATTTTAAAACAAAATACGGCTGGACCGGAGTGATACCATGGCCTCACAGAAAACCGAAGTGAAGCAACGCTTGCGATGTGTTTCATCGTGTGAGTGAGGTTACCGGAGGCCCAATTACTCTCCCCTTCCCCAATCTCCCTAATCCGTAAATCCCCAACGATCCTCAAACTCCTAATCCCCAAAAAGCCGGTAATGCACTTGTAACGCCTCTGGTGTTCCAGGTGTCCATGGGCGACGCCGATTGCTTACCATTAGGTGATCCGTCTGCTAGTTTACCGGTTTATGCAATAAAAAAAATATAGACGGCGATTATCAATAATGGCTAATGTTTTCAAGTAAATGTTTACTAATGCAGCAAATACATAAAAAAATACCTCAGAATTCATTCCATATTTTCCAGTAGTACCGACTTGTTTAGCGAACACATAATTTTTCTTATATTCATTGAGCACATAAGCTACGTTTGCACTTCTAACTTCCAAAATAATTCCTAACTCTTCATTGAAGAGTGCTGCAATTTCTGATACATTGGACGGCACTTGGACATCCAAGTTCAAGCCGCGAATGCCACCAATGCCCATTTCTATAGCTGTAGTAATAAAACCTCCTTCACTGACATCGTGGCCAGACAACAGCTTGCCCTCTGCAAAAAGAAAATTCATCATTCTACATCTGGAATTCGGTAATCCCAGTCTGAAAACCTGTTGTTACGTAACATAATTTCATAAGATTTTTTAATTGGAAAGTGTCATTATTCTGGTTTATTTGTTATTATGCAAAGTCATCCTTATTTCTTGCGACATAAGGATGAATTTGCAGT